CGTGCGCTGCCCCGGGGGCGTCCCTCCGCTGCGCGCCGCGCCCCCCGAGCGCGTGGTGGCTGTCGTGGGCGCCTCGGCCAGCTCTGTGTCCATCATGGTAGCCAACGTGCTGCGCCTGTTTGCGGTGAGGGCCGCGGGGCGGGTTCGGTTTGCAGCGTCTCTCTGCCTTGTCGCCCTCGGGGTGGCTGATGTCCTTTTACCTCTTTCTCGAAGTCTCCGCTTTGATCACTGTCACACAGATAAAAAGCTGCTTTAGAGACACCCCGTCCATTGGGCCAGACGCAGACCTGAATCATCAGATCAACCCAACCATTCCAGCCTCCTTGGCTGCTCTGCCGCCTTCCCAGGGCTGCCACCCTGCACAGACAGCCCCTTCGTGTGAATTAGGAAAACGCTCCTTCTGGGCGGACGAAGACGCCCCCTCCCCCAGCGGAGGCAGCCTGCGCCTCGGGCCAGATTGGCTAGAGGAGGGTGGCCTGGACTTTCAGTCTCACTTGCCCGCTTGGTCCAGTGCCCTTGACCTAGGATTGTGCACACCCTGCAAAACCATACTGTTTCCGAGCGGCAACTGGGACGTGCCCCTGAGCTGCTCCGGAGGGGTGGCGGGGAGCGGGGGAGGTAGGGCCAAAAGATTTAGTACCTCTATCTTCTTTTTTGATCATTTAAATTTAATTTTAAAATGTCTGCCTTTAACCGCCTCTGAAAGAGGGGACAATGGTCTTCCTTTCTAGCGTGGTTGTCTCCAGCACCCTGCCTGTCCAGAGATGCCTGGACTGGCCCTGCGTCCCTCATCTTTAGGGAACTGTCTTTTGTGAGGGCCTGCATGTGCCTTGCCGTCCTAGGGGACAGTGACTGAGGGCTATCAGAATCGGGGATTAGGGGGCCTTTGGCATTAGACTTTGGGAGTTTTCTATAGTAGTCATGTAGACATTCACTGGTGATTGTGGGCCAATTTTACTGGGGTTCTGTGAAGGGCCGGATCCTTCCAATTCTGTGTAAGCGGAGGAAGGCTTTGCTTCTGTCTGCTTAGAGGAGAGGACTTCTGTTTCTGAAGAGTTTCTCTGATTCTCCCAGGAGCAGCCTCTGTTTCTACCCACTTGGTGCTGGACCCCCTCCATCATCTGTGTACATGTAGCTCCCCCACCCCCACTTTCCTCTGGCTGGCAGTGTTGGTGTGGAGCCTACAGACTCACCTTCCCCTTGGCAAGGAGAGAGTTTGTGTGGCTGCCCAGGGTATTTTCCCCTGTCCGTGTCTGGGTTGCTGTTCGTGGGCTCTGTCCCTGGAAGTGCCTGGACCTCTAGTTTCTGTCTCTCTCCCTGTCTCTGCCCCTTTCTGTTGAGCCAGAGATCTCAAACTCCAGAGCCTTCAGGGGCTAGCTGTAACTGCCGTCTCCAGCCAAGACTGAGGTTATGCTGCAGCTCCCAATATTCACGCACTGGCTACTAATTCAAAAATTAAAAAATAAAAACATGGTGTGTAAAACCCAACTGTGGGCCAGCTTTGGCCCCCTGGGGGTCATTTTGCAATTCCTGATATAAAATAAATAATAAGCGTTTCCACTTCATTTTGCAACCTCATCACTTGATTTTAGGCATTTTAAATTAACTTTCCTGAGAAGATTCAACCCACATGGGAAGGTTGTTCTGAAGATGAAAGTGTCCGGGAGCTGGAGCTGGGGACCTTTGTCTGCCTCCTTTTCTCTCGTTTTCCCTTTGTCTTTCTTCTTGTTTTTCTCTTTTTGTCTGCCTGTCTTTTCCCGGCCTGTATCTCTCTCTTTCTCTGTCTCTCTCTCTGTCTCTGTCTCTCTCTGTCTCTGTCTCTCTCCCCCCCTCCCTCTTTCCTTCCCTCTTTCTTTCTCCCTGTCAGCCGTCCTGCTTCACACCTCCCTAGACCAGCCATCTTCCAGAATCTCCCCCTCTCTGACCATCCCACCAGCCTTCACTCTCTCCTGGTCATTCTTTCGCTGCTGAGCGGGTCTTTCTTTGCTGTGGTTCTGACACCCCCTCTGCCAGCCCCCCTCTTCCCGGCTTTCTCAGCCTCCTGCTGCTGTCCTCTGAGCTCCTTTCCCACTCGCTGCCCCCAGCCCCCTGCCTGGCTCAGCCCCTAATCCCTGCTATTAATCGCTCTAATGCACACAGATAAAACCCAGTTTCAAACAAGCCCATCCATTAAGCCAGACACAGCCTTGAATCAAACACCCAGTCCAGCTCCCCTGTCTGCTCGGACCCTCCTGGGGCTGCCACCACACAGACTGCACAGACCACCTTTTTGTAGGAATTAGGAAGATGTGTTTTCTCTGAGGCTGACAAGGACGCCCCTTTCCTCAGGTGGATATAGCTGCAGTGGCTACAAACCCTTTGCTTGGGGTCCCTGTTCAGCACACAGCTTGCACAACTGTATATGGTGGTCCTGCCCTCTCCCCTAGACCCTCACACCTCCCATATTCACAAAATTCAAAAAATTCTCAGACCCTTTCACAAAATGCAGACCTTTTCCCATACTTTCTGTCTTCTCAATGTGGCCACTCCCAGGTCCCTAACCCAAATCTTCTGTGCCCCCATCCATGTCCTGGATGCCCATACCCTCTTTCCCTTGAGTTACTGACCTTCCATCCACAGCCCATGTGTCCTTCCCCCTCCAGATACCCCAGATCAGCTACGCCTCCACAGCCCCAGAGCTCAGTGACTCCACACGCTATGACTTCTTCTCCCGCGTGGTGCCACCCGACTCCTACCAGGCCCAGGCCATGGTGGACATTGTGCGGGCATTGGGATGGAACTACGTGTCCACGCTGGCCTCCGAGGGCAACTATGGAGAGAGCGGGGTTGAGGCCTTCGTGCAGATCTCCCGCGAGGCTGGTGAGCTGGGGCACGAGGGTCTGAGGCATGATCCAGGGGCCACTGGATGTGGCAGAAGCCAAGAGATGGGGACACTGGGTCCGTGGGGGGCCTAGGGCCATGGTTAGCCTGGACAGTGCTCCAGTAGGCAGGTGCCCCTTTCTTTTGGAGGACTGAGTCCCTGCCTTATGGCCTGGCAGGAGGGGCCCAAGCTAGATTTCACCTCTGCAGAGCCCTCACCTGGGACCCTGAGTGCTGATCATGCTGCACAGTCATATGTAGTGGCGGTCAGGTGGGTATGTGAGTGGGTGGGACAAGAACTGACTGTGGCATCCCCGACACCCAGGGGGGGTCTGTATTGCCCAGTCCATCAAGATTCCCAGGGAACCCAAGCCTGGAGAATTCAACAAGGTGATCAAGAGACTCATGGAGACACCCAACGCCCGGGGCATCATCATCTTTGCCAACGAGGATGACATCAGGTGTGACAGATGGCATGCTCAATCACATGTTTTTAAGGGGCTCTTTCTGAGGCTCCTGCCCCTCTTCCTGCTCACCCCCAGCCAGGCACACCCTACCTTCCTCCCTTTCCCTTCCTTCTCCCCCCACATGCCTTTCCAGCTGCCATCTCTGAGTCTGGTGCTCCCAGAGATGAATCAGGCCTGGTCTGGGCGGAGATGCTCCAAGCCTAGCCTGGGAAACACACGAGAGTACATGTGTACTTTATAATTCACAGTGGGGAGAGAGCAGTGGACAGGACTAAGTGCAGAAGACGAGCTGTCAGGGAAGGAGTCCTTGAAGGGGGCATTCCAGAGGGCATTAGCAGGAGGCCACAGGCCCAGCACGGGGCTCTTCCTCCCCACTGGGAGGTTGGGTGTGACATTGCTGGGGAGTGGGATGGCTTCTGGCTGGCCTTGATTTCCCCCCAAGGAGCCCCTCTGAGGGTGTGAAATGGGTTACAGTGGGCACAGCAAATGGGCAGGCCTGGGGTCAGAGGAAAGCCCAGGGAAAGTGTCCTAAATGCTCTACACGCATTTTCCCCAGTAAACAAGGGTTTGGCAGGGGATGTGAAGAAGTGGGATAGATGGATGAAGACTGGGACGTGACCAGGGCTAAGCTGGAGGAAGAGCCCAGCCCCTCACTCACCCCCAGCCCTGTTCCTACTAGGAGAGTCCTGGAGGCTGCACGCCAGGCCAATCTAACCGGCCACTTCTTGTGGGTCGGCTCAGACAGCTGGGGAGCCAAGACCTCGCCCATCCTGAGCCTAGAGGACGTGGCGGTGGGGGCCATCACCATCCTGCCCAAAAGGGCCTCTATTGATGGTGAGTCGAGAGACGCTGCCCCATGCCATCCTCCCCAGCATCCCCCTCTTGGGAGCACTAATTTTCTGCATCTGTGTAAAATCTGGTACCATAATCCAAGTCCGTTCTAGGATTCCCACATTCTATGATCCTGAGATTCTGTGACTACATCCTTGGTACTATAATCCAAGTCCGTTCTAGGATTCCCACATTCTATGATCCTGAGATTCTGTGACTACATCCCTCCAAGCAGTGTCTGAATGAGATGGTGTTTGAGGAAAAGCACACTCCATTCTGTACAGGATGAATGACTGTTAGTTTTTTGTTTTGTTTTTTAATTTTGTGCCCATATTTCTGGTTCTACCAAAGATACTCTAATTTGAGGATGAAGGTGGGAGGGAGAGAAAACAAGGACATGGACCATACCGACCTGTTGATCAAAGTGACGAGGCCTGCCTCACCTCCCCAACCCTTCCCCTCCATCCCACCCATGAATATCTGGATGAATCCAGCAGGGATGGTTCACTTTACATTTCCCTAAAGGCTGAAAAGAAGATGCCTGATGACATGCTTCAGGGCTATTGTAGGAATCACAGACCCTTGTAAAGGCTTAGCCCTGATTCCCAGGGGTTCCCAGCCTTTTGGGTGCATTTGGGTGTGTAACGTCCTCACACCCTTTCTTTCAGTTAGAATGCATTCAGTTGCGAGTACAAACTGGACTGAGAGGTTTTAGCAATGAAGGTAGTTCATCACAAGAGAAGAGGTATGACAGCAGGTGGCTTCAGGTGTGAGTCAATGATGTTGCCAAAACCCTGGGCTCTGTCTACTGTCCTCTGTGGTTGCTTTGTGTTTTCACACTTGTGGCCTCATATTCACAAGACAGCTGCTGAAGCTCCACCCATTACATCTTCACAGCAGCATCCTAACCAGGAAAGAAGGGACAGGGGTAAGTCTTTCAAGTGGCCAGGCTCTGAGTTTGCATCAGGGTGCAGATTCTACCCTGGAGACCCCAGTTGGCTTTGAATTCACCAGCCAGAACTTGGTCATATGGCCACTCCTAGCTGCAAGGTAAGCAAGTGGCAGAGGGACACAGGAGGACCTGCCTGGCTCAGATGGTCACCACCTTCTCACTTCTTCCTTCCTTATTAGGATTTGACCAGTATTTCATGACTCGCTCCCTGGAGAACAACCGCAGGAACATCTGGTTCGCCGAGTTCTGGGAAGAGAATTTTAACTGTAAACTGACCAGCTCAGGTACCCAGTCAGATGATTCCACCCGCAAATGCACAGGTGAGAGGCGCCCAGGATGGGGGTGGTGAGGGAGAAGGCAGGCGGCCAGGCACACTTCCTCTGGGCATCCCTAGGACAGGCGAGGAACGCATTGGCCGGGACTCAACCTACGAGCAGGAGGGGAAGGTGCAGTTTGTGATCGATGCTGTGTACGCCATTGCCCATGCCCTGCACAGCATGCACCAGGCGCTCTGCCCCGGGCACACAGGTCTGTGCCCAGCAATGGAGCCCACTGACGGGCGGACACTGCTGCAGTATATTCGAGCCGTCCGCTTCAACGGTGAGTGGGTGCCCAAGCCCCTGTGACAGTGAAGGGAAGTTGGTTGGGACAGATTTCTCTGCAGGATCTGGGACTCAGGATCGAAAGGATGGGAGAGGCATAATGGTACAGTGGGGGCACCTGGGGCTGATGGCCTGAGACTTGATCCAAGCTCTGGTCCCCATATTTTACCTCTCCACCCTCCCCAGGCTTCAGCACCCCCTGTCCCAATTTGCAAAATCCAAATGTTGGGGAACTTCTCTGTGCTCCCTTCTGCCTGGAACCCTCAGCAGGGCACACACAACTCTCCCCTTGCACAGAATTTAGGGGCCTCTGGACCCTGGGGGCACACGTGGCACAGCTGAGACCGCACGAAGGGCATATGCTGCGGATGTGCCGCCACTCTGAGTCACAGGCTTCAAAGCGTCACCCCAGCTAGGCCCTGAGCTACTTGAGCACAAGGCACCAGTCTGATGGGTCCCCCTGGCACCAGTGGTGCACCTGGCGCTGGTCAGGGCCCAAAATGCTGTCTTCTAAAAAGACTGAGATGGACTCAAGCTGTACGCATGGTTTGTGGGGAGAGACATGCTTCTGTTCAATTACCGTCCTTCATACAATTAAAACGCTTGTATTCCCACCAAATATTTATTGACCACTTTCTCTCTGCCATTCTCTCTGCTAAATAATTCAACTTAATATTATTCCAGACCAGCTCTATAAGCTTCTAAAAAAAATAAAGTTGGTTCCAACTAGCACCAATTTCATGCCATCGCTCAGACCTTTGTTCAAGTCTGAACTTATCTTCCAGCCTGGACAGTTAAACTTTTTGTTTGTTTGTTTGTTTTGGCAGCTGCCGGTACGGGGATCCGAACCCCTGACCTTGGCATTATAAGGCTGCGCTCTAACCAACTGAACTAACTGGCCTGTCCCTAAACTTTCTTTTTTCTCTTTTAGTTGTGGTAAAATACACATAATATTAAATTCACCATCTTAACCATTTTTAAATGTACAGTTCTGAGGCATTAAGTGTAGTCACATTGTTGTGCGACCGTCACCACCATCCATCTCCAGAACTTTTTCATCTTCCCAAACCGACACTCTGTACCCATTAAACACCAGCACCCCATTTTCTTCTTGCCCATCCCCTGCAACCACCATTGTGCTTTCTATGAGAATTTGCCTACCTCATATGAGTGGATCATATAGTATTCACCCTTTTGTGAATGGTTTGTTTTACTTAGAATATTGTCCTCATAATCCACCCATGTTGTAGCATGTGTCAGAATTTCCTTCCTTTTTAAGCATGAATAATATTCCATTGTATGCATGTACCACGTTTTGTTTATCATTCATCTGTCAATGGACACTGGGTTGCCTCCGCCTTTTGGCTGTTGTGAATGTTGCTGCTATGAACACGGGGGTACAGATGTCTCTTGGAGACCCTGCTTTCAATTCTTTCGGGTATATACCCAGAAGTGGAATTGCTGGATCATACGGTAATTCTCTTTTTAATATTTTGAGGAACCGCCACACCGGTTCCCACAGAGGCCGCACCATTTTACATTCCCACTGACAGCGCACGAGGGCTCCAATGTCCCCACATCCACACCAAGACTTGTTTGTATTTATTTATTTATTTTTTAATAGTAGCCACCGTAACGGGGTGCGGTGGTTTTGATTTGCATTTCCCTGATGATTAGTGATGTCGAGCATCTTCTCCTGCACTGTGAAGCTCTTTAACCTGGCTGGTCCTTGAGGCCTTTCCAGGAGGCTGGCTTTGATGGGCCGGAGAACCAGCTGAGGATGACAGGCTCTCCCTCCAGGCAGCGCGGGAACCCCTGTGATGTTCAATGAGAATGGTGATGCGCCCGGGCGCTACGACATCTTCCAGTACCAGGCGACCAACGGCAGTGCCAGCAGTGGTGGTTACCAGGCGGTGGGCCAGTGGGCAGAGGCCCTGCGCCTGGACGTAAGTGGCACAGACCCGGCTCCAGATGGAGGGAGATGGGCTCATAGCTCCCTGAGGCAGAGGTCACAGGCCTGTTTCATCTGGCCCAGGTGGAAGCCCTGCAATGGTCAGGAGACGTAAGTGGCACAGACCCGGCTCCAGATGGAGGGAGATGGGCTCATAGCTCCCGGAGGCAGAGGTCACAGGCCTGTTTCATCTGGCCCAGGTGGAAGCCCTGCAATGGTCAGGAGACGTCCGCGAGGTGCCCTCCTCTCTGTGCAGCCTCCCCTGTGGGCCAGGTGAGCGGAAAAAGATGGTGAAGGGTGTGCCCTGCTGTTGGCACTGCGAGCCCTGCGATGGGTACCGCTTCCAGGTGGACGAGTTCACGTGCCAGGCCTGCCCGGGAGACATGCGGCCCACGCCCAACCGCACGGGCTGCAGACCCACGCCCGTGGTGCGCCTCACCTGGTCCTCCCCCTGGGCCGCCCCGCCGCTGCTCCTGGCCGTGCTGGGCATCGTGGCCACCACCACGGTGGTGGGCACCTTCGTGCGGCACAACAACACCCCCATCGTGCGGGCCTCTGGCCGCGAGCTCAGCTACGTCCTCCTCACCGGCATCTTCCTCATCTACGCCATCACCTTCCTCATGGTGGCCGAGCCCGGGGCCGGCGTGTGTGCGGCGCGCAGGCTCTTCCTCGGCCTGGGCACCACGCTCAGCTACTCGGCGCTGCTCACCAAGACCAACCGCATCTACCGCATCTTCGAGCAGGGCAAGCGCTCGGTCACGCCGCCGCCCTTCATCAGCCCCACGTCGCAGCTGGCCATCACCTTCAGCCTCACCTCCCTGCAGGTGACAGGGTGGGCGCGCGGGGGG